GAAGCTACATGCTGAGTCTCTATGTTTATATATTTCTTTAGATCTGTATATGTCCTCTTCCATATACCTTTGTCTGGCCTCGAAAATCACTGTGCACATTGATGCTTTACCCTCTGAGACCGCATCCTTCAGCTGCTTTCAACCCCAGTCTATGCTGGACATTGCAATCCCTCAGTATGGAGTGAAGGGTGGGATTATTATTATTAAGCCACTGGGGAAAACCACTTATTTTCCTATGGAATTCATAGGTGTTGCAAGACAACTCTAAATACATCTATAACTTCTTCATAAAGTCTTCATAAATGCAAAACATTGCTTATGGAGCTGTCATTTTGGCTTATTTTTTTTCAACATTTGCTCTTCATCAGTCCTTCAACTCTTTCCTTACCTATGTCCTGATCAGGAAAATAGAGCTTCCTAAATTGCCCCCACCTCTTAGAATAGTATTAAGCTAAAAGAGTAGGCATTTGAAGAGGAGTGCAATCCTTCTTTGAAGTATTTTGCTAACAACCCCCACACTTTCAAAAGTGTGGATGCACCTTGACAGCACAAGTGCCATCTCCAGATGCGATGCTGGTGCTCTGGCTGTGCTCTGATGACCTTCACAGATCAAGGTTGGACCTTCATCTGGGAGCCTGGCTCATGGGGAGAGGTAAGTGCTTGAAAAGTCTCTGAAGATCAGTTTAGTAGAGAGTGAAGCAAAGTAGCTTGAGCAGAAAACTGTGGGATATTGTTTAATCCAGTCTGTTCAACCACCAGACACAGGAGGGGAAAACGGATTTAACCTCTCTGATCCTGGCACTTTAGCAGATGATTAAAGGCACTCATAGAACTGAACAGGCAGATTAAATATGTAAACATGTATCTATAAAGTACCTTTATGTTCACTGCCTAAACTTCTGCCTCTAAACTCAAGCATTTTCAGACCCGTGGCAAATGTATACTTATTTTTAAAGGTTATCTAGTGAAAACCATTGTTCTGAAACCACTTGTACCCAGTTTCAAGTTAACTCATCTCTGTTCCAGTATTTCTCAAAAAGGTCAACCACCTATCACAGTATGATGAAAGAGGCAAGTACATCTGTCTGTATAACTCCAGCACTGACTGCTGAAATCCACACTTTGGGAAAGTGTCCCATATTCACTGAAAATAATGAGCTGAAGTTAGAGGGAAAAAACACAACGATACATGGGTAAAAGATAGGAAAGTAGTTGGTGACAGAAACTGACAATATGTGACAGGCTTAAAATATCCAATGAAAAATTGCATTTCTTCACCAGCATAGCCAGTAACTTAATTTACATTCATTTTTATCAGTGTGTTTTACCCACACAGAGCTCAACCTCCTAATAAAAGGGACACTCAGATACTCCTAACAGTCTTCTGGTGTCAGCAGATTAAATTTGGATTAAAGATTACCAAGATTCTCTACAGTCATACCAACATGTGTAAGTAGATATAGTTTTAGTAGACGCAGTTTTATTGGCTTCAGCATTCCCAAGCTGATTTGAAGATACTGAGATCTGTCTTTGACAGGTTAATGTCGTTGTAGTTATGAAAATGGACTAGAAAACCTGAGATATGGAGTAATCAAAATTATGATAATTAAACAGATAAAAACTGAATAGCTGGAGAGTGTGACATTGATAGCCAAGGAGAAACCAGTCAGTTCCCACTGTGTTTTATGATTATCAGAGCTCTGCATGGGAGCAGATGACTGATGACTGATGGCTGGTATTATCAAGGAGAGCGGAATATGTCCTGTTTCAACCTTTTATTTGTTTAACCTTTACTGTGTGAACGAGATTGTGCAGCTGAATTTCTTATTGCTTGGAAGGGATTCTATTTTTTTTCTTTTATATCAGGGATGATCAAAGTTTAGCAAAGTCCTCATATAAGTAGCTGTTAATATGGATCTGTAATTATAAAAGGAGCGTATCCATCTTCAAGTTTTATTTCTTTTCCTTTCTGCAGGGTTCCCTATTTTTCTGCAACACTAGAAGGAAAAGAGATTTAGAAAAAATTACCTGTTCTAAAGATGTGGAAAAGGCAGACAAATAGAAAACACTGGTATTCAGATTTATTTGTTTGGGGTTTGGATCTATCTAAAAATTAAATAGCAGAGTTATGTATTTCAAAGGAAATTAACTTTTTAACTCCTAAGTGCATAACTATAGCAAGTAAATAGGGCACACATCAGTTCAGTATTATTATATTCAGGACAGATACAAGCATCTTATCTCAGGATGAGATATTCACACACCTGAAGTTAGTCATAAAATTCCTTTGACCTAGAGTTTTTTTCCAGTATAAAGGTGCTGGACAATCAGAAAATAATTGCACAGACAAGTACACTTGACAGCTATTAGGCCATTTATTTAGTAATGCCTGGATTAAAATGGAGTAAGGTCACCTGCATTGGTCACAGTTTTGCTGTGCCCAAGTATGTGTAAGCACTAGTCATGGCCAGTAAAGAGCACCAAGGCCACTGTCTTCAGCATCTGGTGTTACTGAGGTCTTCAGCAATCAGACTCCATCTAAGTTTAGCTACTAGACATCAAAGAATTTCTCATCAAATCCACTTCTTGCTATTAAATAAAAAATAACTTCTCATCAAGATAACTTCATACCTGAGAATAGAGCATAAGGACCTCTAGGTTTGTAAGGTAAATCTCAAAACAGCCTGAAACGTTATTTCAAGGTAGAAAGAACTGACCTGCCAGGACTAAGATAGTAGTTACCACCTTCAATGTGATTATCAGAGTGATTTAAATTTGGTTAGTTAGTTCCTTGTTTGCCTGTGCATGCCAACAACCCCCAGAGAGATGACTGGTTAGCCTTGGTGGGACTCCAGAGAGAAGCCACCTAAGAAACTCCATCCGTTCATAACACAAAAAGTCACGTATGGCCCTGATCTATTGTGGTGATAACAAAATCTACATATGCCAATGAACAAGCCAAACTAAACTGCTAATAAATTGTCTGCTGTCATTACTTCATATTCCAAAACTATTTCACATTGCTACCTGCACAAAGACATCACTAGTCCCTTCTTTGTTGCCAAAAAACACCCTTCTTGACAACTTTGCTGTTACATTTGCTATATAAAAAATATATGTTATACAGAATGTTGTAAGGGTGGCAAATAGAGTGCATTAAGTAAAATATAATTCCAAATGCTAATGTAACGATTGAATTATTTGTTTACCTCTATTATTTAATTTTAATGATGCTGACTGGGAGCTGGAGTTCCATAATTTCAGTTGTAGAAAATGATGTATGCACTCTTCTATTTTCTTTGAGTCCTTGCTGCCAAATAAATTGCTGTCATTTAACAGTATCTGCAGAACAAGCATGGGCTGAAATAGTCAGAGAAATTTAAGAATGTGACTGTTTATTATGCAAGGGTTCATGATTCTATTATTCATTCTGCAATCTTTTGCCTCTTGTGTCTTTACAAGTTTTATTGATAAGAAAAAGGAGATTTAGTACAGATGGCATGTGGTATTTTTACAGTAAGTTTTCTACTTGCACTTCATTTTTCCTCAGTTTTGAATGATACTCTGATGAATGTCTGTTCCAAGAATCATATCAAAAAGGCAAAAACTGTAATAGCAATTAAAATGTTTCAAACAGAACTGTATTTGGAAACATACGCCGCAGTCTTTCTACCAAGCATAGTAAGAGATGTTTATTTAGCCACAGGTTTTTGACTGGCTAAAATCATACAGCTGGCCCTTCATTTGATATAATTAAGGTCAAAACATTCCAGCTAATGGAGCTAAGTTGATTTTCACCAGCTGATAGCTTGACTAGTGTTTATTTAGTCCATTCTTTCCTAGATCTGATCTGCAGCTTTCCTGAACCTCAATCCCATCTTGCTGTACAATTTTGTTACTTAAAAGCCAATAATAACAAACAAATTCTGCTCCCATAGAGTTGTAAGGCCAGAAAAGCAGCAGCAGCTACGGTGGCAAGATGAGCAGACCATGCAGAAGGATATGAAATCCCTTGTGTCATGGAAGACAGTACCACAAGGTGCGGATAAGCATAAAAGGCACTTATAGGCAGACCAAAAATCAAGAAAATAGATGCTTTATCAGTGGACTTGTGATCTAGGCACATGCCACTGACCAAACCTCTCCTCTCATACACATGATCCCACTAGCTGTATCCACAGAAAAAGCTTTGTTTCAGGTCTTCCCAGGTTAGAGAAGGGGTGCCGTGCCACAGTGCTGCAGCGGTCCTGATCCCATGCCATTTTCTTTAGGTTTAGTTCACGGATTAAAAAGGCAGCCTCAAAAAGCTAAAGAAGAAAACCACTCCTGGCATTAAACTCCAGAATCACAAAATATCTTTAAATATAAAGAACCCAAGCAGGAAAGCTAAGGTGAGTTATTCACTTCAGGTTTTTTTTTCCCCAAATATTGCGGTGCTTGTCAAAAGGTGGATTTTCAGGGAGAGGGGAACTGAAATTTTGATGCAAATTTTAATGATATTCAGCAGAAGTTGTCCCCTCTCAGCTTTCTTCCTATATGAGAATAAAACCTGAAGAATTTCAAAACTTTTTTCAATTTGCAAAAATATACCAATTTTATACTTTAGAAACAACATTTTTCAGTTTTTAATTCAAAACACTTCTTCTTTATAAGTATCTGTTTTTTTTTCTTGGTTTTTTTTTTCTATTTTTAAAGAAAACAGATTTACAAAGGATTAAATAACCCAACAAGCAAAAACTTTCACTCCAGTTTAACTCAAAACATCTTTCTACATTCTTCCTACCTCTCCTCCCAACCCGGGGCTTACTTTTGTTCAACTTGAATTTTGTTTCTGATTTTTCACCGAACTGAAAAACCCCACTATTCACCCAGCTCCACTAACAGAAAGGCCTCGTGCAGAGAAATATGTATGAAGAGACGGGCTACGTAACTCTTACTACAACTACTGCCAGGCTGATAGAAGCAGAGCTCATGGACACAGCGGGCTGCCAGGTTGAGGTCTATCGCTGCTGTTGCCACTGCCGAGACCTCTGCCTGAGCCGCCGGACAGACATGCTGATTGGTTGCTTCCCAAACTTCTTCATGATCTCCTTGATTCTTGCCAAGTTGGTTTTGGAGATGGTGAAGTCGCACTGAGTAGCTCCCATGTCATAGCCAACTTCGCAGGTCTTGGTGGCGGCGGTGTAGCCTTCCGCCTTCACGCCTACCACGTATTCCCCTGGGTTGAGAAGACGCCAGTAATCCCCATCAGCTCCTGGTAGGAAAAGAGATGGTTTTCGGGTCAGTGGCCTTTTCTCTTTAAGGAACATGTTGTTTATGAGAAAACAAAATGCCTGCCCAGGGATAAAATGAGAACACAGGAAGCAGCCCTGCATCCTCACACCAGGAGAATGTCAATGAGGTTGCTTCCCATCACATGTACTCCCTCCTCGTCCTGCCAACCCTAGAGGAAAATATACCTCAAAAATGTTTTCCAAATGATGGAAAACAGGACAACGGGCTTCAATCTGGCTTAAGATTTTTGTCAGTCCAAGTCAGGAAGATCTTGAGGCAAAGGACCACCTTGTAACTGTTGGTGATTCTTAAAGGGTATAAAAGACTTTCCCCAAACTAATTCTAACTAAACAATCAAGAGAAGCTCCAGTGGGGTACCCACATCATACTCATGATCCCAGCCAGACTGCCTGGACACACGTGTTTTGGTCCTACCTAGTAGGCCAAGTGTGTGAATGCATAATGTCAACTCACTTAAGAGATCTAAGTAAATATTCCCTTCCATAAAATCTGACATTGAGTTTCATTACACTAATTTTACTACAAACTACAATTAATCAGGATACTTATCCACTTGCTTACCCCTAAGTGCCTGAACAGAGTTCCTATAATCAATGAAACTACTCATGCATAAACTAAGAAGTATTTTAACACCTCATTGAATCAGGAATTTCAATTTTCTTCTTATTTTTCACGTAAATGATCTCAGATTACCCAAATATACCTAAGGAGTTTTAGACATCTTTTTAAATACTGTTTTAACTAGCAAGTATGCTTTGCTGTGGACTGAAAAAGGTGAAGCACTAATATCTAAACTTATTTTTGCACTCTATCCTGGGAAAACCCACTGTGGAATGAAATTGCCTACTCAACTATGCAATTCTATATATAAACAGAAATGAAACATCTCTTGGATGAAGAGGAGTTGGGGTTTTTTAGCGCTGATAAGAATCAACAAGCCTTACTGTCATTACCCTTGGGTTACTTGAGGTGTGTTGCAAAAACAAAAGATGACTTGGATAAAAATATTACATTGGGGGAAAAGATCAGCCTAGCTAGCCTCTGTTTAAAGAAATATGACTTTAATTTAGGGCTGGCTAAAATAGGGAACATATTTGCAAAAAACAAGCATCAGTAAAACAGCAATTATCAACTATAGCCTGATATTACAGTCTGTGAATCTAAGGGTAAATGTGTGCAAGAAGCACACCAGATCAGGTTAATTCTTGCACATCAGCTTGCTCAGGGTTTTCTTTCAGCCAGTTTGACCCCACTTGAGGTGATGACCAAGGTCCAGATTTTCTGTTTCTCAGGACTCAGGCATTTTTAGGAAGGGTTCTCCGAGAAGCTCTTCATTCAGTTCTCCCTTACTAGTGGGTCAGTTGGCACCTCAACCAAAACACAAAACATAAGTTGCCCAGGTTTCTTGAATTTATCCCTAAGGGCTCATTTTTAGCTGTGAATGCTCTGGTGATACTACAGGGCTGGCAAAAGGCTACGGATCACCCCATGCTGGCTGTGAACGCATCCCTGCTCAGAGCCTGGCTTTAGCCCATGGACTTCAAAACTGACCCACATTTTTCTGACACATTTAACAGAGAGTTCATCACAACCCTGCACACAAGGTCAGGAAAAAAAAAAAATCTATGCATTCACACACCACCAGGAAATTATTACAAAGCTGGATATTACTTTATCTCCTTTCCATTTACAAGAAAGTAGACATTAGTATTTCTGTCAGCTGTCATTAACCCAGAATTTAATACCAGACTAAAAGGGGATTTTTTTTCAAAAATCAGATTAAATGCAATAGATAAAAAATTTCAGAGCAGATGGCAAGAGAAACACAATTAAAAATACAGATAAATTCAGTAAATAATAGGTTTGCTAAAAGAATAGGCTCCAGTGGAAGCAAGCTGGAGGCAGACTACATCTATTTCTTCCTGTTGGGTCTGGGAAAGAATTTCCATGTCTGCTTAGGTAAAATACCCCAACGCATAAAAATATAAATACTTTATTATTATAAACCAAATGTATCAGATGACTCCATAAACACTTCAATTAAGAGGAACATTCTTTGAACCTGATAGGACTGAACTTTGCTAAGATTAAGTGCCATAGTTTCAATTAAAAGTACCAAATTTTACTAATTTAAATACATTATAAAAATCTATCCTAATGTTTTGTTACCTACAAAAGGCTCTCTGGAAAAGCTAGCCATAGTTTTGCACACCCAATGCATCTAACAACTAAAACCTAAATTTTCTCTACTGAACAGGCAGCCAGGAATGAGGTTGAAGAGTTAGAATATCAGAATTATGCTTAACTTAGAGTGATGTTATTAAATATTACTAAATGTTACTTCAAATCCTTTGGGTTTAGTTACAGAATGTATACTGAAATTGTATAAAACTTACCAAAATATTCATAAAAATCTCTCTGGACACTGTAATTACATTTTATTCTAAAAATCAGACAGAAATGTGCATCTGTCTTTGAACTCTAGTACAGGCTGTGATACACAAGTGTTTCATTGGTAAGAAACCATATATTCTTTCATCAAGATTTGCTTTGAAATTTCGAAAATGTGCAATTACAGGAAGCAACTCACAAAACTGCCTCTGCACCATTAAGAAAAAAGGTGTCGAGGTGCATTTGTTCACCCAGTTGATGAACTCTTTTCCAAAGGTTATCTCATCGAGCACAGTTCACATCTAACCGTAACAACATGAAATCGCTCAGACTTAATCAATAGTTACATCTGCATCAAGAGAAAATGGAATAATTATCCACAAAGCTCTTACTCTCAGAATCAATGACTTCAATTAGCCCATTAATATTGTTAGCTTAGTGTCAGCAACCTTCTTTTCCCATAAGATATATTGTACGTCCAAGAGAAAGTGAAGGACACAAGAAGAAGCAGAGAAATTTTGTCTAACAACTAAATGTTATTAGAAGGTCTTTAGGGACAATTTTTGTCTGGCTCTACAGGGTAGTCAAACACATTAATGTATTAAAGAAATAGGAGATACCTTACAGCCCAGCTCGCTTTAAACAAAAGTTCTATGAATAGAAATAGTGGCCATAATTCTCCTGGTTGGTCTATTTTTATATCAAGGCACCTCAGAGGTTTAAGTGGATACATTTTTCATTTAAAAAGGTATAAATGAAAGAAGACTGCTGACAATTTGCCTTTTTTCTCTGGAGTTATACATGTAATTTTAGCTTTTTGGCTCCAACATAAATTCTCTAGTTTCAAACACTAATGAGGCGTACATTGTTATCTGTATCATGCAAAATAAGATAGAACTTTTATGTTCCCATCTAACAAAGTGATTCCCAAACAGAGTGTCAGCTTAAACATGTCTCATTAAAAAAAAAGAATTAAAAAGAATGAAGTAAGCACTTTTATTTTTACTAACAATTACAGATGGCCTTGAGCCATAGAAGCTCAGCTCTAAGTCTGGAAGTAAATAGCTGCAACATTCTCTGAGCATTAAAAAGTGGATTCTGGGATCTTGCACAATAATTACACGTGCCACCGGCACTCCTTCCCATATGCACGTTTGCTGCCTTTATACTGTTGATTTTTCTTTCGTGTGGCAATCCAGTGTAGTGAGAGCTGGAGATTAATCACCCATTGCATTTACTTGGCCATTCCCACTATCATTTCCCAACGGTCCCATTTTGATATATTTAAGGCAGAATCATTATTGCCTAATTAAGTATCTGTCATGCAATGTTTTCTTTTACAACAGAGACACAGTAGCACTGAAATAAAATTAATGTAAACTAAGTTAGATATTCCAAGATTTATTATTAGCTAATTAGATAATCTGCTCTAGCAAACATTAAAGGTTTAGAAGTCTCTTATCTAAAGGTTTATGATAATCCATAGCCTGAAATCAGTTTACATATCAAAGGGTGCCATACTGTACCTTAGTGGCAAAGCAAGTGAAAGTGGCAGCTAATGAAAGACTCAGAATCTAAAAAATACATTAAATTAGTGTTCCTATTCCTAATATTGAACCAAACCTAGAATACACAGCAATATGATTTATCTGATTATCCATCATGCTGCTACTTTTCCATGAGCAACCAACAGAAACCTTGGTAACCTCTTGCAACCAGCACTTTGAGTGTAATCACTAAAGACTCCTGATGTCTTGTTTCACTATCTCTTTCCACGTACTCCTCTCCTTGTTACATCCCCTCTGTTTCTCCATTTAAGAAGACAGTGTGTCTTAAATCATGGTACAGCACCTACACAAACACAATGGCCATTAGTTGCTATCCACCCCACTACCTGCCAACAACAATTTTCAGGTATTACTATTAATCCTGTAATTGCTAGTCTCTATTTACAGCAGTTCTTTATTTAGTGCCATAACTACTTTCCAAGCCATTAAAGTTTACTTAGAATATACATATCTGTTTCTGGGTATATATCAAGACAAGGCAGATAGCCATTTTTGTGGTTTTTTAAATAATATACATATTAGAAAGTCATTCTCTGGGTTGAAATTTTCTCAGAAAACAGTTCAAAGTTGCAATGAGGCTCTGTGTTTTGGTTTGGTTTTTTAGGGGTTTTTGGGGTTTATTTTAAATAAATATTTTAATTTGTACTGATGTTTTTAGTTTGGCTTATTTATTTATTTATTTATTTTTACCTGTGCGAATGTCATGGTTTACACCTTCCACTGAAATAACAGCATTTGGGATTCCTTTCCCATGCACATCTTTTACTATGCCTTTGATGCCCCGATGGACCTATTGAGCAAATAAACAAATAAATATTACACAGCAATGAACAGTGTTATCATTTGGAAGATACAACAAATAATTACTTCCATATGTGAATTAAGTGCATTCTATTCCTACTTTATGGTTCACACAATTTTAAAATATCATTAACCCAGTATCAGCCTTCCAGGCATTAGTTACTTCTGAACCAGCTTACAAATTCTGTTAGGATTCCTCAGGCATTAAATTCAAGACACAAATAAAACAAGCAGATAAAGCAGCAGATGTAAGGAGGTTTTTTTTTTTATGGCAGTCATTTCTAGCAAGCTCTGCACTCATGTCAGATTTTAACAAGCTTCATTAGTTTGTCCTCCTAAGTTAAAACAGCCTGGCTGAAGTGATGTGCCAGTATTGCTTATAGGTAAGGTTTCTATCATAAATACCAATAAACATGGAATTAGTCATGCAAGAAAAAGATCAGAAACCTTAAATTCCTTTCAATCTGAAAGGAGTAATTAAGTTACTCAGAAGTTACTCTTTTTGGTGAGTACCTGTTCCATAAAAACAATTAGGGACTCGCGGTTGTTTTCCCATTCTTCAGGCAACTCGCTCTCGTGGGGATACTTGTCACAGCCAACATAAATGGATAGCTCAAAGCAGTTGGTGTGCAGGTAACTGAAGTCATTTATGCCTGTCAATAGGAGGTAAAAAAAAAAAGAAACAATTTTATATCGTCTTTTAATCTGTTGATCAAATCTGATTATTTTATGCAAAGTAATATAACTTCCTTAAACACAAAACTTGTATTTTTCTAGCTGCCTTAGTCTGCAGACCTGGCAGGGCAAAAGTCTCTTAGAAATGCCACGTATCTTGTGACAAAGCACCAGACTAACATCAGAGCTACACGTTTAGCAAAACACTACTTTCTAAAGACAGTGTCCCATCAACACATTCAAAACAGAGGACACAGGATTGCACTGTGACAGTGTGTCAGCCCAGCACCACATCTCCAGTTCCTTCACAGTGAAGAGCAGCGTCCTTCTGACACCACAAAACTTAATGGAAATAGAGATTTAGCAGAAAACAAAGAATTTAATCACATTCCAAATGAAGTTTCTATGCTATTGATGGAGAAAATGGGGGCTCACCAGGAAGATGTTAGAAAAGGTCTCTCTTTACAACAAAAAGTTTGTGCTTTGCTTTTAAGAATGCACTAAGCTTCACTAATCCTGGACACACTCCTGTGGAGAAGCTCTCACTTATGGTTGCCCTGGGTAGAAATGAGGTGGTCTACATTAATTTGCACAGATGTGTGGCCATTAACCGAATTTATACAAGCCTAAATGTCAGGATACAGGGTGATGGGCACTCAGTGATTGTTATGTAAAAATGATTTATCAGAACAGCTCACAAAATGGTTTCTCAGTCTAAATGTTTTCCCACCTAAGTAATCTAAGTGATAGAAAAGCCAGAAAAATCATAGTAGTAAAAATTCTTTTAAGTTATATATGGTGTCTGTTAGCTCGTAAGGAATGAAAGGATCTATTCTGGTTTTTCCCTATTACGGCATTGCAGAGGACTGAAATCTGAACCATTGCTCTGCAACAGGGGTTTCCATGAGAAATATGCCCTAATCCACAGCCAGGAACCTCAGTGCCTCTGAGAAGCTGCAGTTTAAGTCTACGTTAGGGAAAGCACTAAAGAAGCCTGTATTTAGATACAGATCTCAAAAATTGCCACTCTCCAGGTTTCTTCCCTGTTTCATACGATTATTTTTCCTTTGGGAAATTCCATTTATTAGTTCTCCACAATCACACAGATAACACGATAACAGTACATGAACACTAGAGGAACAAATGATGTGAGCTTTATTTCTTATCCCACCTGCATTTTTAATAATAAAATATTAAAAAAAAGTATTAGTGGTCATCAATTTTTATATTTTAAATGGCAAAGATTAGCAGAAAAAGCATTCGATAAGTGCTTCTGATTGAAAATAGTTTAAAAAAAGCCAAACCCTAGTCTTGTCCTATTACCACAGAGTGGTTGTCAAATATTTAATGAGCTCTCCATGCCTTCTGGATGCAGAGCAGGAGGATTATATCGTATAGATGTTAAGCTTTTTGCTTCTGTTGATTTGGAAAACCTAAATATCAGACAGTGGCATATGCTACTCTTCATAAATGTGCTTCCCCTCCATTTGAGAAACAGCCACAGTTATTTTCCCCTCACATACCGTGTCGCATCCTGATTAATCTATTGTGAAATGTTTTGCAACACAGAGCAATTGCTCTATTTTAATATATGCATTTAAGAAAATGGCTTAACGTTGCCAAGAGCAACTCTCTGTGTCTGAAACTTGCAAATCCAGCCTTAAAAACACTGGAAATAAAATTAAATTCATCTGTTCTTTGCCTTTGTGCAGTTTACCCAGTGCAGAAATGTTATATGCAAAATTGCTGGAGAAGTTGCATTCATGGCAGTCCAAAATCTGGGTAGGAAATAGTACGGCTGGGTTTCAAACATGGATGGAGGTGTTTGATATCTGCGCAAGAGAGCTGTGGTGCACACGCTTCTCCAGGGACATTCTGGTGCTGAAAAGGAATTAGAAAAATCCCTTCTAAATTTTCCCATGGCATGAACAGTGAAAAGTTTAGATGCATGATCACCGCAAGGCCAGGCAGCAAGTGGATGAGGAGAGAAATGATGGGCATCTTCACTTCGTGCTACAGCCAGGAGGTGCCACCCACAGCAAAGGACAAGCGGGGCAGCTTTCTGCCAGCAACATATTGGTGTGTCACCTTCAATCAGACATTAAGCAGGCAGCAGTTTAGGGGAAGAAAATGTTACATGTAGATCTAAAAAGTAAATAAACCTTCAGGCTCACAGTCCAGAGGCCAATAACCGTGTCCTGGGCTGCATCACCAGCGGAGTGGCCAGCAGGTCAAGGGAGGGGATTCTGCCCCTCTGCTCCGCTCTCCTGAGACCCCACCTGTGTCCAGTTCTGAGGTCCCCAGCACAAGAAGCACACGGACCTACTGGAGTGAGTCCAGAGGAAGTGTTCAAGGTCAGGTTGGATGAGGTTTTGAGCAACCTGGTCTAGTGGAAGGTGTCCCTGCTGCTGGCAGGGGGGGTTGGAACTGGATGATCTGTACCGTCCCTTCCAACCCAAACCATTCTATGATTCTATGAAACAAAAAGTGGAGTCAGCTATACACTTGTATCTGTATAGTGATGGAATTACAGAGTGAAAAAACATAGGAGAAATCTCTCTCCAAATCTAGAATCATATTTGGACTATTAGCTGCAATATATGTATGCATATATCTATATATATAGATAGATATATATATATATCTGCAATACAAAGCACTCTCTTCCATTTGTCCATGTAGAGAAGAGGTCTAAAACCATCCTACAGGTTGGAGGCTGAGCTCAAATGGAAACCACATATTTTGAGGCTTAGTCTGGATTTCACAGTGTAAAAAATCGAAAGTAAAAGCAATATTCCAGTATTTTTCTCAAAGACAGTCTTGGAAGTCTTATTACAATGGAAGAGAGCAGGATGTAAAGTATAATGAGAAATATCATAAAGCAATAAAACAAATCAGATGAACCAAATCCAACATGCAATTGTTACTAAGAAATCAAGATACTATTCAACATCTATATTGTACATCATTACTTAACGTTACTTAATGTGACAGCTGTTAGTGACATGGCCACTGTAATCTTTTCTGGATCGATTCATAATCATGGTTCTTATAGCACTTAGGAAAATTAAACTCATTAATTAAATAACTAAGTGGTCAAATTAGCATTCAGAGGGGTTTTTTTTAAATTTACAGAAATGCATAGAAATTTATTGTCGGGCATTGGTCTTGAGATCAAAGCAGTTCAATCTTTCCCCCCCTGAATTCACCCAGAGCTTTTTAACCTCTTGAAAAAACTATTTGAAAAGTTAATTCTTGGTTCTAGCTTTTAAAGTCTGGCCAGCATTAACTTTACACAGGCCAATGTAAAAGCCAGAAAAATTTTATCCAAAATTTAGAAATGTTTATGTGGTGAAACTACCTGCAAGTTACAAGCAAGAGCCAACGCCAGTAAAATGTGGTCTGCACTGATGCTCACTTGAATGTTTGCCATCATTGCTGCAATTGTCCCTATTGTCATTCAAGTGATGGAAGATGCACAGCACATCTCTTAATTTCATAGAATATGTTATCTAACTGATGAACTTACAGATAAACCAAAGATTTTTGAGCAGAACTGCGATGAATCAGTAGAGATCCCTTCTCAGTCTGCTCAAAGTCTACACCTAGAGTGATAACTGTGCCTGTTGCTCTTAAAAATGTGCTTCTAATTGGGTTTTCCTGGAAATGTATCCTTGTCTGCACTACAGGACACAGATTCTCCTTCATGTTTGTCAAGCAAGGTGACAGGCTGGGGCATGTGGTGAATGATGCACTCTGTAATTTATTCTGGCAGGAGAAATGCCTACGAAGCCCGTGCAAAGTTTAAGTATAAGCACATCCAAGTCTTTTAAAAATAGAACGGTAGCAGGCAAGCAGCAGCTTTCCATGGCATGTTTGTACAACTTGAAGTGAATATGAGTGGAGGCTGATCTGTGACAGAGTTCAACAAGCAGGAGGCTGAAATAATAATTTTCTTATCCCAGGGTCACCAGAGCATCTCCCCAGGCTCCTATACCAGTGGGGGAGTTGCTGATTTGGCTCTGACAGTTGTTACCTTTGATGTTTGGCAACACTTTTCTGTTGGCTCTCTCTGAGATGGTGTCTTTTCTTTTTAGCTGAGACAGAGCTGGTTTCTTTTTAGCAGCTAGAATAGTGCTGCATTTTGGTTTCAGCTGGGATTTGTTAGGAGAGAAATACTGAGAACATCCCCATGTTGGCATTTTTGTCCCTGGAAGTTGAAGGACTTTGTGTTCTGTCCGTCTACAAGCGCAAGATATAAGGGAGCAAGGAATATTGAAATGAATGAGCTCCAAGGGCATTTGGCTCTGCCAAGGGGCTGTTCCATCTCCTGTCCCCCATGGGCAGGAGATTCATGAGGGGCTCTTCCTCTCTTGCTCGGGTTCTGGCTCTCCTGGGATTGCGGTTTCGGGTCGGATTTGTCGCTCCTCCGGGATCGTTATCTGGGAACGGGCTGGGCTTGGTCGGCAGGTGATGAGCAATGGCACTGGGTATCACTCATTTACATATTTTATTACTATGACTATTATCATTATCCTTAATATTTTTAATATCATTCTTATTTTATTTCAATGATTAAATTGTTCTTATCTCACCCTATGAGTTCCCTTACCCTGGACCCCCAATCCTCTCCCCTATTCCCTAGGTGGAGGTGGGGAGTGAGCGAGCGGCTGTGTTGGCTGCAGCCAAGTGAAACCACCACAGATGGCAAAGGCAGACAGGTTCACTCTGGTAATGAGTCTGGACTGGGTTGGTTTTCTCCTGACAAACCATCTTGAATGTACAAAATCCATAAAGCTAACATATTGCATGTGCACTTTTGGAAACCTCATAGTAAATGAAATGATCACCAGGTTTTAATGACAGAGTCTCCTTCAATCCTCTGATGAAATACAACAAATAGACTTTCAGATGAGAAAATATTCTTCTTGGTGTACGTTTTACCACCATTACCTCTGCAATGTACACCAGGCAGTGACAACATTAGCATATTTAGCAAGGTAATGTTAATTTTAGTTTCTACAAACACTTACTTCCAGCCACAGTATGCCAGGAGGCTCCATTAACAGTGCCATCCTCCTTTTGGAAATCCTCCGTGTGACACGCTCTCCTTCTTGCATCTGTCATCAGCCGGTGCGTAGAGGCGTAGGAATACGCAAGCCAGCGAAAGACGTGATCGTCTGGGGTAGGTGTGTAATCCTGGGTTTTCCACATTGATCGCACCATATCATAAGGGTACGCCACCACCAGCTCTCCTCCCTGCAAGTTGCCACCCAACACAAAGGGAATTTTTTCCATCCATGCTATTATTGCCCGTGTCTCAACTGCCACCTGGGAGAAAAAGCAACAGCAGTTTTGTTTTGACCTGTTGTGGTGGTTTCTAAAAAAAATCCCTAAAAACCAGGACACCTGTGAAATTTGATGGTCTTGTTTCAAAGGTAGATGAGATGCACTGTAAGTTTCTTAGCATGGAGTGAGTAGCCAGCACAAGAGATATGGACAAGGAGAAGGGCTTCTTTAAATTAAGATGCTTGCCAGTCATTCTTGAAAACCTAACTAACATAATAAAATAACTAAAACATTCAATAACAATAAAAACTAACATAACATTCATGTTCATAATTTATGCAGCAGGAACATCTATGTAGAGTGAGGCCAAAAGCAGCAACTGACCAAGATGTCAGACCATGACGCTGCTCGCCCTTATTATGGGCTGAAATGAGTTTTTGAATTAAGGGATTTTAAACACAGAAATGTTTCTAAAACTCACCCAACTGCCACAGTTAAGAGCCTTCCCCTCAAACTGGGGAAATCTCAGCCACTATAAATAGTTGCCGTTATATTTAAATGGCCATGCAAAAATAAATTAGATTTTTGGTGCTACAATCCGACCAATGACTTTAGTATAAGCCACTGCATTGGTTTTGCATATGCCTCAGCATTTCCTGTGTTATTTCAAATAAGAATATATTTAAAATAAGAACAAATAGGAAAAACCCAGGAGAAATCTGTATGGTGACTGAGTTTGCAAAGAGGTCATCTTCTCCACAAAACCAAGGAGAAGTTTATTCACAGGACTGAGCCCTGCAGTGGGTTTCTCTTTGTCTACCTGTTGCTCCCTAAAAGTTGGATATAAAAAAGTCGGGCAATAGCCCAGGGAAAAGAGGATCCTCCAGGAAGCACTTTCCTTCCCAAGGGCTACCTCTAAATAATGGGGGGAAAAGGTACTTTTGTGGTGCATTTTTATTTCCAATGACTAATAGGAAAGCCTAGGCAAGTAACTTAGATCAGATATGTAACTTCACCTACAAGTTACTAATTTCCTGAGAAAGGCTGTAAAGCTCACTCTGCCCCAGTCTTTGTGTTCCCCTCTCAATGGTCTTACTCACGGTGGCATTTTCAGACAGGTACCAGTCAGGGATTGGGATGTAATGGTTTGGAACTTTTCTTTTACTCTTCTTCTGATCTTCAGAGTCCCAGAGCAAAGAGTTTAAATCAGGGAAATTATTGTTGATGTCAATACCGTCCTGAGTCCATCGTCCTAAAGACCAACCCCCTAATTCTGAACCCTTAGATTAAAAAAGAAAAAAAGAAGAAAAAGGGTAAATGTTCATTCAGAATATGACAACATGTGAGTCTTCAGCAAAGTTTCTGGGGATGTGCCAGAGATAATTCTCTACAGAGAAATGGAAGGATGAATTATTTAATTAACTGAAATAAACAACTGTTTTTTTCTTTTTTTTTTCATTTTGAATTAAACCTTGAAAGAGGTGAAGTAGAACCCATGAAACATTACTTGGGGTTAGCCAAAATGTTCTAGTTCTTTTTCAAGGTTTGTATTTAAGACTGGTTTTCCCCAGGGTTGCAACAGGGATGGTATATACTCCCTTCAGTGGCTGTGAGTGCAACTTTTGTATTCCGGTCTTCTACTGACTGTCCTCGAAGATTTTCCAGTGCATCTGACCAGCCCCTGCAATTTTTCCTCCTGGTGTCTATCTTCTTCCAGACTGAATTTTTACAATGCCCAACACATTGTGCTTTCCTTAAAGACACACTATTAAATTTCAGCTGTGGAGGAATGTAAATTTTCATGTGCTTAGCTTGGTTTCTCATGAGAAACAGACTGCATGAATTTTCCATTTTCCATAACGGTGTTCCCACTGATCTATAGACATCAGTATGGTTTGTTCTGGCAGTCTTTGCGACCCTCCTTTCCATACACATCTTCCTTTTAACCATTAAATACTGTTTCTTTCAGCTTTTTTTCTGAGAAAGATGTTTCAGTGGTTTATCTTTGCTTTGATGTGTTTATTTTTTAATTTGCTTTGATTGCTTGTAAAACATGATCCTCAGAATAAAATAATGACAATAGGAACATGTTCCATTCATCTAATAGAAGTAAAATAATTCCTTGATAGGTTCATAATTCTATTACCGCTTTATATGCCTTGTCATATCCATCTGGGTTGACTGAGGGCAGGAGGTGGATTCTGGTATCCTCAATGAGATGTACAATGCGCGGGTTTCCAGCCAGATATTCCTGACACATGAACTGCATTAACAAAAGGATTAGCTCACGTCCAAGCACTTCATTCCCATGAGCTCCTGCAATGTACCGAAATTCTGGTTCACCTGTTGAAAACACATGGGGCAGAAGTGTGGTCAGAGCAGCAAATCAAATATCTAACCAAGTATTATTGACGTCAATCAGCAACATTTCACTTAAGAAGAGTTGGAGAAGTGCCTTAACTGAACAAATGATGGGTGAAAATGTAACTCTACAGAAATAAATAATTATTTTCTGTTGATATTTTAGAAGAACAGGCTGATGTGTCAGTGACTGCTAAAGCCACCGTGTAAAACCTCCAAAACCCATTTTCCATTAAACGGATTTTTAATTATACTCAAAATTTCAGTGTGTTACAGGTAGATTTTAGAAGTTCTGATAGTCTAAAAATAACATGAAAAATATATTGCTGGTAGCTCATTGGGACAGATGTTAAGGTTCTTAAAAGATAACGGTCAGTTACTGTACACATTGGTCTCTGACTTCACACACTTTACTAAGCAAAAAACCGGTTCACATATATTTTTCAAGGTTATAGTGAATGCCACAATACTTGTACTCAATTACAAAATACTTCAGAGATTATTAGAAATAGTGCCAGCTATTAAAAAAGCCCCATAATTTAGTTGTCCTATCTATGAATAGCACTTGCAAACATTGACAGGACAGATTCAAACTGGTCAAGCTATGGCTTGTGGCTGGATCCACCCACCCAGTTTGTCTGCCCATGATACACTCCTTGCATGTTTTCTGCAGGACTCTCAAAAATAGGTAATTGGATAAAGCAGATTAGATTAATTATTCTGGTGTTAACATCTGAGATTCAGAGACTGCAGTCTAATATCAGCTCCAAGTCTACTAAGATACTACATCTGTGGTGCTCCATCCTTTATGGCAAAGTAGAGAGATGTCTTAGGACCATGTCATAGAATTCTTCCTTGGGTGGGATGAACACATATGGGGGTATTTATGGACATGGCAAAGCACAAGACACCTTTATTCCAACAGCTGCCCCGGGCACTATCATAGTGAGATCTTTATTTTTCTCCACAGAAGGACCAAAGACTGAATGATTTTCTATTCTGAAGAGCTATATCACCACAGGAAATTGTACCCCAACACTCACCAGTGAAAGATGATTTGGGAGATTTGACCTGTCCTTGCTCACAATACCTTCACCCCGCAAAAAAGGGTAAATTTCTATCCAAAGCTAAATAAATCTCCACAACTAAACTCCATTCCCCAGTACTAAGATTCACTTTTGTTTTGTTATTGTAAAGAATAAAACTCATTATCATTAAATGATTTGATCCCACATTCAAAATGCCTTTTATTTGTGCTCACCCTCCTCTTCCCAATTTAGAAATACAGTGGTGAATTCCTCCTACATACATTTGAAATCTTTGCTGCCATGAATACAATTCCATCAGGGGTAATTACTGCAGATACAGAGAATGAGGAGAAAAAAAAGACAAATCCCAACACCCTTCAACAGATTTAGTTAGACTAAATCCTAACCAACTTCGTGTTCTCCTGGGTTGTCAGAAATCTCGACAGCATACAGCTTTAGTCCTTGGTTGCTTTTTCCAATATTGTAAATTCTTGTGATATTTGGGCACATTTTATTCACAGTTTTCATCAACTGCCAATAAAAAAAAAAAAAAAGACATATAGTTAGAAAATGCAGCATCAAAATAGATCTATTAATTATTTCATTCCAAATTGGCTGTGGCAAAACCTCTTCATTTCCTTTTCTGATTAGTTGTAAAAGCTTTATGTTTAGTTCATGAATTTATGGCTCTGCTATCACACAACATAATGCTTGTTCAGTGGGAACAAGCTGAGTACTGTCTGCTGAAACAACACAGCATAGGTGAGGTTCAAGATCTTTCCCACGTTAGATATATTTGTAATATTGTCACAAAATTAAAGACGTGGGGGGGAAGTCCAGTAGGAATACAACCAGTAAAAACATACTAATAACCTATCGAAAGGTAGTGAAACACATTTTTAAAACATTATGCAAAGGAGAAAAATTAACCACTTTAACAGTTCTTTCTACACGCTCTGTGTTTTACTACAACAAAGTGACTTCAGATGACCCGTGGTCTTAGTGGGACGGCAATGTATGTATGTTACAGGCTGCCACAGACACACTCTGCTCAGTAAATGAGATTTCTCTCTCTTTTGCCCTATGCAGCAGCAACTTAATTCAAAACAAATGGAGAGACGAGCATATAATTCATTTAAACACAATTTTCCCAGTTAATTTTGATTACACCTGCCTCCGCTGAGGTAGAAACCAAGCTCACCCCTCTTTGTACTACAACATGAAATATCATATGGGAGAATCATTAGTTAAGGTAGTGTTGATGTGGCCAAAATAATGAAATAGGTATAATCTGGATGACTCCATAAAAACAGCAGGATATACTCCGTCAGTAAATAGATATTCTTAGATATTAGGAAGAAGTTCTTCACTGTGAGGGTGGTCAGACACTGGAACAGGTTGCCCAAGGAAGCTGTAGATGCCCCCTCCCTGGAAGTGTTGAAGGCCAGGTTGGATGAGGCTTTGAGCAACCTGGTCTAGTGGAAGGTGTCCCTGCTGATGGCAGGGGGTTTGGAACTGGATGAGCTTTAAGGTCCCTTCCAACCCAAACCATTCTATGATTCTATGAAATCACAGGTTGCCCAGAATTTGTTTAATCAGCAAATAATAGAATTAATAATGGAAATGCCAACAGCCTGTCTCAAGACATTCTTCTCATCAAAATCTATTCTCTTCATTGTTTCTGTAGATACTTCATGATACAGTCAAAATATAATCGAATAGCTTTACTGCTTACTAAAGTGCACAGGGAAGGTCATGGTTAAGGGTATAGTTCTGTTTAAAACAGTTACACAGGTGCCATCCAGATAAGGATACATGGAGTCTAAATTGTTCCACAATCAAACACTTTACAGTAGCATTTCAAGTGAATGAAAAAATTTACAAACAAGACTGAAAATTTTTTGTGTTAATAATAAGTTATGGCAAATAGCTTTAAATTACAGGAATTTATGTCTCAATTTTTTTTTCATTGAATGGTATTAAGGAAAAAAATAAAGACTTTACTGTAAATTGGAACCCCAGGGACTATTAATTAGACAATCTTTTCATAAACAAGGATGCATACATTATTGAAGAAATATTGTAGCATAACAAAACTCATTGCTCACACAGTGTTAATTTAGAAACAATATTGGATGATCACAAGGCTGATGATTTAAAAGATGCAATAATTAGATGTGTCCGATTCCCATGCCACCATTTAGCAAAACTAAGTAGAAACACAATTCACATTGGGAAGATCATCATTAAAATTCCTCTCATAAAAAGCTTCACTTCTCTTTATAATCATGTTGCAAAGAGACGAAAAAGATGCTATTTTTGTACGTTTGTTCATCTCACACGTTGGTTTTATACATATGAGAAACAATTTCTTTTGCAAATCTAAACTCAACACTTGTCTGAAAAATAGTCAGTTATGCTTATTCAGTGTATTATTTACTTTCATATCTACTTTTTTTCTTTTTTCACCACTGTCATCATCATCATCATCAATGTGCTGGTATTATGGGTAGCCAGTTATTTCCATGAAACTCTTTTTAAGGTTCTGGGCATACATAAGTGGGTGTATAATTTGTTTTTCCAGTTGAAACACAGAAGTGAAGCCAGAGGACATTGGTTTATATTTTCTAGTCTTTAGTTTAACAACTCAAGTCCCAGGTTTTTGAGATAAACTGCTTTAAATCTTCATGGTCAAGAGCTATCACATCTGAACACACTCATAGTGAACCAAAAACTATCAATGGATATGAAGCTATGGACTTCTTGCTAGAGCTTCACACACCAAAACCTAACCAAGGTCTATTGTGAGGGGATTATTAATTTATGTCCTACTGACAACAGGATGAAATAGATTATTATTGGATCAGACACAGTATTTTTCTCCAATAGAGAGAAATATTATTTTTTTCACTCTGCCAATGAGTACAGATATTTCATTAAAAGGTCTATTCTAGCAGGCTAAATCACACTTTCTGTAATGTATAAATAATGTTTCTGGCTCAGCTCTGTGTTTGCTGATTCCTCTCTTTACACCCTCCTCAAACTCCAGGAAAGCCCCTCCTGGCTGATGCATTTTTGCATCTATGCAGCTCCCTAAGATATGAAATAGGGAATATGACCCTGTTCTCATAGGGGTGTCTCTGAAATCAGGCTGCAGAGCAGAAGCTTTCCTAACTACAGCAGGCACATAATAGCCAGACCACCAATTTAGGAAAACAGTTAAAAGTACATTAAAAGTTCATTACTAGTGAGAAAAATGCCTAGAACCAAATTCAAAGTATATTACAATGAGTGGAAATATTTCTATTGGCCTCAGTAAACTCCCTACCACCTCTTTAATTGCAAGCATGTGATTACTTTCTGAGTCAAACAAAGAATTTTTCTTGAATTAGGGCCACTGTAGTAGACTTCACTGTAGCTCTTTTATAACAGTATAGATATAGTAATGTAATTAAATGTTTATATATAAATACAGTACTGAAAATGAACATATTTCATATTTTCCCATACCCGTTTCCTACAAACGGTACAATAGGTCACCTAAAATGTCACAGCATTTTCTTTACATTTTGTACAAACTGTCAAAGACAATTGATGATAACAGTCAGTCAGGGCTTTATTAACAACCAGCAGGACTGCAAAACGTATTCACAGTCACGTTCACTAACAGTTCCTATTTGACAGTTCCTATTTGTTTGTCACTACCAATTATTTACCCTATTAATGTCCTGGTCTGCATGTAGTCTTTGAAGAAGACCTACAAAACTGGTCTCTGTTGGTCCAATTCCTCCATTTTGCAGAAAAGGTGTATTAAACGTAGGTCTAAGTGCCACCTACACTTAGAGAAGGCAAAAGGGTTCTCAATCAGCACCTTTCACGTTAGGGCTATTCATTATCATCTGTGGAGATCTCCATATTTCTTGTGCTGCTGCGGGTCAAACCAGAAACTATCTCCACCTTGAACATGGAGACCATCAGATGGAGACTGTCAACCTGGCGTTGCATGCAACCTAGGATGTTTGCTGAGTATCACTCTAGTCTTCTACATTTAGCTGTTTCACCCTCAAATAAACCTGTTCAATTGGTAACCTACACAGTGCTCTTCAATGTTCTGTATTATCACGACATCACGTCCATAAACGCAGCTGACCTTGAAGAGCAACACAAGACTTCAGGGTTGTTTGGTGTCTGGCTTGTCCAAAGACATGAATCACAACAAGTTAAATGTATTTCAAAATTAACACTCCTATTTCCTAAGAAAGATATGATCTAGGTTTATTATTTCAGAGACAAGGTTGTAATCAAGTATCCATTTCAGTCTGTTTCTGGAGCTATCTATCAACCATTTTAACAGCTGCCTATACAGTATGAATACATCATGTAAATATTTTGGGCTGTAAGACAATCCTGACTTCTGCATACAAGATACAGTGATTGTTCCCATTGACTGAAAGAACATTGAATGTTCTTTCAAGAGAAAAAATTGGTACTATAAATTTAATCTTTCTCATCAGAGAGTTCTATTAAAATAATCTGACACTAAGAAAATCCCTTCCTCTCACAAATACTTGACATATTGTAATGTAATGCTTGCAAAACATATCCCAGGCAACACCCTCTCCTCCTCCTTCTTCAGTGTTTATGAGAAATAACCTCAGGAACGGCATTTTTCTAAGATGGTGAGCAGTGAAGTAGCTAACAAAACTGACAATAATACACAGTATTTATTTTTTAAAAAATTAAGTTGACTCTGGAAATTGACAGAGATTGTTCCATTTTACACTCACAAAAGAAATTATGAGGTTCTAAGAATAGTTTTGGGGATATAAGACTTATTGCAACCCAACACACAATCTTCTGCCTACCAGCAGGAGAATCCAATTAGAATCCGATGAGCCCTACATAAATTAACTATTTTGACACAGATAAAATCAGAAATTGAGAGAGCACAGTCAAAGACAGCTCACTGCCACAGTTGCAAATATTCTACTTACATGAAAAGTGGAAAAAACATTCTGTTTTAAAGCTGCATTTTTCCCCAAAGATATTTCTAACCTGACCAACCTGCCTTTCTGCAATGAGAATCTAAAATACACTTTATTTTATTGTTCTTGACAGTAATTATGCCAATTGAGTTTCTACTTGTCTAATCTTTGTGCTAAGAAATATAGGCCACGAAATCTTTACCGAAATAAACGTGTGACTCAGTACACAATTGCTCAATAAAAATGAATGGTGATTCATGCGGTATAAATACACTGAAAATTCAGCACACAGCAAACGATTCGCACACTTCATGTCCAAACATATTATCTTTATAGCTGAAGAGAAAGCAGGCAGAAATATTTCTTCAGGACAACCCACACCTATGCCTGTGGTGATATGAAGATTAAAAAATGATAATAAAAACAACAAGGTTGCTTATTAGTAGAATTTTAAATCTATCAGCCTTGTTAATCTTGTTACTTTAATAATTAAACATTAAATAGTTAATAATTAAAATTACACTAGAGGATTTCTTTTTTCTACTTTTTTTTTTTGTGAGTTTTTGCTGATTTTCACAACTGTGAATACAGAATTGGATTCTGTATAGTTTATTCTGATTATCCAAACCCACTGAAATACAGGAGAATTCTGATGGCCAAGTCAAGGTCAAATCTGAAAGCAGAAACCACTGTAACGTTCACCACTCAAATATACATGGAAGGAAAAAGATGACACCTTATGAGTAAATCCTACCTCTGTCATGCAGTGTCACTTTAAGACTTTGGGATTTTAATAGATTGCTGCTTTTAATAGATTAAAATGGGAAAAAAAAATACATTGCAAACACCATTTAATTACATTTTTAACAAGTAAGATTCAGATTCCATAAGAGCTCAAAAGCCTGTACCCATCTACCCTCTATCCAGGAGGTCACAGACCAGTCTCTTTGCCTACCTGCCTCATTTCCTTGTAGTTGTGATGCTTAAAGTCAAGATTATCTGTGGTTGTCATTTCATTTCTTCTGTGGTAGTAATTATTTGGGTCTGAGAAAAGAAATACAAGAATTTTCATGTGTTTATGAATGTCAGATATAAAGATGCTTAGCCATAATGTATGCATGGGACATGAAAATCTGAATTTGACTGTGATATATGTATTTTAAGAAGATTTTCAAAAGTAAAAGTCTAAAAAATAAATTTGAAATATTTTTAACTACTGCACAAATCAGCTCTTGTATATCCAAAGAGAAGCATGGAGGCAGCAGGCATCAGCTTGCTCAACAGCTACTCTGCACAAACAACTAAACCTCAAGAGAAAAATGGAAGAGCATCCTTAGGCTACAGAGGAGGGCAAAAGACACTGGAAAATGATGAGTCAGCTACAAGCTAAAAGAGTGGAAAAAAGAAAAATCACATTCAGTGGAAAAAGCCCAGTAAATGTTTTGTGTCTACTTGATTAATTTCCTGTTACAAGAAATTAACTTTTCGTTTTCTTGATGAGTATTTTCAGAGTCTAGGCACTGCTTGCAAAATACAGAAAGGATCTAGTGTGCACATTAAACATTCCTGATTATTTTCCTAAACAATTTTTGAGGAAGTCGGAGGTCTTTATTACTTTAAAATTAGTATATCAGTGTCTATATGGATATCATTTATAGTGTACGTGTTTTTGACGTATCAAAGAAGAATATGTGGATAGAATAAAAAACTCTATTTCCTTGTCTTCCCAGGGCATTCACCCAGAAAAAACCAAAACTGCTAGGGCTCAGGTTTGTATTTCCTGATACATATGCTCCTAAACCTAACCTATTATGATTTCTTTTGAGAGATAGGTAAGTCTATTTAGAAAACACTGGAGACCTTCCTTAATTTGCCATATCTGGAAGTTTGAGTAATTGTTTGTCAAACCAGTGATTGTCAGGCTGCTACGATAAATTGTTTCCCTTCACACAAACTCACCTTCATTTGGCCTAAAATTATTAGGAAAAAAAGCCAAATATCAAAGCCTAAATATCATCCTGTCTTATAGCAACACAGTCAAAAGGCACTGTTCTCTAGTGAAGAAAAAAGATTTTCTTAAACAGTATCACCTAAGAGTTTTAATTTTTTGGGGAGTAACAAAAGCATAATTGTTAGTAGGAAGAATATACAGGTACTACTATATTGCAACAACAAACACTTAATGAAATGATGGAAAACTCAAACACATAAAAAAACCTTATTAATTAACATTTTTTAAGCTTCATATTTCTGACATTAAAACCTCTAAATTGTCAAATTTGTTCTTGCCATTATTTTTTTTTTCCTTAAGTGGAAGGAAAGCAAACTGAACTATTTAAGTTATTTATCAAATGAAACATGTTCTATTAAGCTTCACTGTAACATTACCCATGTTCTCTACCACTTATTTAGTCTTCACTCACATACTTGTCTCAACATCCATTCCCTAATTACAGCAGTAATACTGGAAGCTCAGCTGAACACTGCTCTACAAATATGACTGAAAAATGTCAACAAAAATCTGGTTGTTCAATGCACACTGTCCATTCCAGTGAGAACTTATTCTATAACAAGGCCACCTCAAAATGGATTTGAATTAAAGCCTAATCAGGTGAGGGAACAGGACTTCTTTGCTTATTTAAAAAAAAAAAAAAAAAAAAAAAAAAAGAAGAAGAATCAAGATTGATTTTCGTGTGATCCATCTGCATTTTTAGGTCTTTTTTCCAACCTAACTGCAGGCTAAATTGGTGCAACACTGACAGCAATGATGCTGCAGCAATCCTGCAGATGACCCTTGAGTGCCAAACCCTTAATGGTCAACCTCTGTTAATTTCTAGAAATTATTCATTAATATATTGATGAGTGAGAAATCATTTAAAAAAATACTTCTTCTAGAAAGAGACAATGTGTTTAATGCCACACAGAATATCTCCACCATTGTAAAATACCCCTCTGTTGTAAAAATATAAAAATAAACATCATAAAACTGCCAGGATGTTGAAGACTTTCTCGTCCGCCATAAGCCAAAATACACAGCAACCGACATTTTTTCATAATACTTTAATCCCATTCCTTTTAAAATCTGGCACTTTTTCCATATATCAAACATTAATATCATGGGAATGACTATGAATGCTGCAGAGTTGGTGGAAATTTAACAAAACGGTACAGTGAGAACTACTGTATCTTTGGTCCTTCCTCAAAAACAGTGCACAATTTGACAGCTCCCAAGAGAATTAACACTCATATTTTGCCAGGCTCTGCTGTGAGTCTGCTCAGATCACTGGATTTCTG